AATAAAATCGCAAGCAGCAAAACAATACCCTTGAGAGTGTGGAGAAAAGGAAATGGAGACAGAAAATGAGATGGAGTGAAGACATCCTCCTGGACTTTGAGATGATGTCCACCTGCCCCCACAACACTTGTCTGATATCAAGCTGGAGCAGAAAAAAGAGGTTTGGGAACATTTGCTGGTACCAGGACGGATGGTGATAAACCTCCTGGAACTGCTGTGCTGGTGGGCAGAAGTGCAGTAGTAGTGCATTGCTTTGCTATTCTTGCTGCATCAGCAGGGCTTGCCCCTCATCCCAGCTCCATCCTGCAGTCCCATGGCCTCCACTGATCCAGCAGTGGTTTTCCCTGCCTTGCAAGGAATCAAATCCTGAGAAACCACATGGGCAAACCCAGCCTTTGCTCCCAAGAGCTGATGCAAAATCCAAGGTGAGGGTCAGATGCAGAGAGAAGGCGGCCAGCACAGCCCAGCTGCATTTCTCTGCAGCTTGAGAGGGTCAGGTTTACAGCACTGAGCAAGCACCAGAAAAATAAATTATTAAAGGAAATCTGACAAGGAAAGGGGGTGGACGTGGGTAGAGAAACGGGAAGGAAGGAAAACTCAGAAGATCTTGGCAGAAAACCAATAGGTAAGAAAAGAAACAAAAAAAAAAAAGAAAAAAGAAATCATTATAAACCATCAGCTGCGTTTACCCATGGCCAAAGTGGAAAGAAATGGCCAGTGCAAGCAAGATACTGGGAGATGCTGTCCTGCTCTGCTTGCAGCCAGGCTTGGAGCAGACCTCTCTTTCCAGTGCTGGGATTCATGTGACAACAGCTTCTTGCTTGCTTTTGGTAGTCTACAGAAATGGGGACCTGCTGCAGTTCCTATCTCCTGTCAATCAACTCCACAGTCTATCTGTGCCTTTTTTAGTCAACTGACCTTTTCTATTTTACTTCTTTTTTAAATTCTACACTGCTTTAGAAGCCTAAGTCCTACAAAAATCAAATGCTCCACTTAGCAAACAGGGCATATATCAAAAACACAGTCTCCAGAGCTGTACTTTTAGTTTCACTGATCTCTGTGCCCTCTCCACCCCTGCACAGCTCTTGCAAGAAAGATCACCTTTTGCTGTTACAAAGGGGGGAAAAAAAGGAAAAACAAAAAAGCCACATTTTTCAATGAATTTGTTGTAGGGAGCAGCTCCTAGGTCCATTCTGCTGGAGGGAAGGAAACTGAATTTATCGATTCCTCAAGTATGCCAGACCGTGTAAGAAAGAAAAATGAGGGACTGAAACCAATAGTTAAGTTGTGTCTCATTCCTGAGTTCCTATTTTCCAGCCTGGTCCCAAAGAAGGAGGACAACTACCATCATCTCCCTGCAATTTGGTGGCTGACAGGAAGCAATTTTGTGGTTTAAATCCAGCTAACAGCAAACCAAGCCCATGTTAAGAGCGAGCCTTGCCACACAACGCACTTTTGTTTGCAGCCTCAGGATTTAATTAAACAGGTAGATAAAACCTACCTTTTAACCCACGCTCCAGGGTGTGCCTCAGTGAGATAAAAAAACAGGCTGCAAAAACAGGTCAAAGATGATTCCAGTGCTGGTGCAGCATCTGCGCTGCACTCAAACATCATCCCACACTCCTCAACGAGGGGAGCTGCACCAAAAATCCTCACTTTCTGGCCCAAAGGCAGGTTGGTTGGTTTCTCCTTTTCAGTGCTGCATCTGGGTTATCCTGCACGGGGTCACAGCAGGGTCTAATGTACTGAGAAATTAAAAATCCAGCTCCCTTCCTCTTGTGGCAACCCTCTTCCCTTCCAGTTGTCTGACCCAACAGCCTCTCCATACATCTTCCACCTACAATTTCTTTTCAAGGCATTTCCAAAACAGAAGTAGAAAGATTAGAAAGGACAAATCCCTTCATTTTTTCCCTCCTCTTCTTCATCTGACAGATCTATTATTCCCTTATAAACAACAACTTCTCCCAGAGACTGAACAAAGCAGCTACTTACATGTCATATTTTAAACAGGCATGTTTTCAGGCCAAGAAATAAACAGTTATATTTTGGCAATCCTTCATTTCCTGTCCTATTTGCGAGCGATAATGTCATAACACACAGTGTGTCCCATGCCTTCCTCCCTGGCTGAAACTTGCAGCAAAATAATTTAGCTGAATGAGCTGCCTTTAATACCTACAAAAAAAATCATCAGAATGGGGCATAAATGTAGTGAAAATGAAGGGGGGGGGCAAATAATTTTTTTCAGCACAAAGGGCAAACTGCAATACTGATGGATTCAGTATTCAGAGCAAACATTGTTGGTGTCTGCTCAGATGTGAAGGGAAATGAGATTTTTGGACAGGCAAAAGAACCAGCAAGTCTAATTTTCTTTCCTTAGACTGGAAAAACACATCCGTGTGATCTCACAGCACACTGCGCTGTCCCGGACACCACCACAGCAACCCTACATATATGCCACTTAACCCAGCTTGTTAAAAACCTCCGGGGGACCAGTCCCACTTGCAAACACTTGGCAGGAGCGCTCCCAGCTCACTGGAATAAATCAGGCGTGTGCTGGAGCGGCGGAGACACTCCCGGGACACAGCCCGGCCAGGACATCGCGGCTCCATCCCAAGCAGCGCAAGGCTGCGGACCAACACTTCCTCGTTCTCTGACCTTTTCCATTTAATTACTTCCTGTGACTTTCTTGGAACCATGCATCGGAACGAGCAGGCGGCAGCCTCCGGGCATAACCGAATCACTGTAAGGGTTCAGCTCCATTCTCCTCCTCACAGGAGGAAAAGCCACGGGCAGCCCATCCAGGATGGCTGGGGAGAGGGTCGCCCACAGCCGCCCATCCTCTGGGTGCGGCACTGCCCGAAATCCCCCAGCGCTCAGGTCCAGCACGGCAGCCTCTGATTTATGACCTGGCATCCCATTCTGCCCCCAGCCTGCAACGTGCGAGGCAGCACGGGCTGAGCGAGGGGCAAGGAGGGAAGCAGAAATAAAGGCTGAGATGCAGAAAGAGGCGCTCGCTTGGCAATGACAAACTGACCTCTAAGTATCGATCCGGAATGGTGCAGTTCTGAAGGGACCGATGAGTTTCCAGCATCCTAAGTCCTGTTTGTTTCCCTTCCAGCTTTTGTAAATTACCTCAAAGCGCTAAGTGTAATTGAGCTGTTCTCAAGAAACTACTAAAAAAAGAGGCAAAAAGAAGGGGGGGGGACACCTTTGTTATTTACTTGAAGAGGGTTATTTTAAAAGGCATCCTGACAGTGGTCCCTTTTTTTGTAATCTGGCTGTTAACATTTGCTCACAGTGCACTCAGTGAAACAAGAATAGCTATGCAAATTAAAGCCAGATATCTAGGGCAAATAGCGCGCTATACTACCATTGTTCTGACAGCTTGAGAAAACTTATCAGGAGAGCCTGTCCTTATTTCTTTTAACACCATATATATTGGAGGAAAAAAAAAAAATCAAATCACTTCACCCACCACCGAAATGAAAAAACAACCCATGAGTCACCGACTTCAGCAACGCTATCAATCAATGCAAGGCTGGAAGCGAGGAGCTTACAGAGGAAACCATGGCTTACCTGAAACACCTCGCCGTGCCCTACAAAGCCAAGGCCGGCACTAAACCCTGGCAGCCCAACCACGGCCTCCAGGAGACCAGCCTGGGATGTGCACTGAGGCAAGGACCCCGAGGCATCACTGACCCCAAAAGGCAACACATCCAGGCCACAACAAAAAAAGCTTTCAGTGGCCCGGGAATGGGTTGGGTACCAGCTCCCTGTGGCCACCAGCACTCCCAAGCTCCAAGGGACCAAAGCACACAGTGCTGCTGGCTTCACAGGAGAGGTGGCATGATCCAAGAGCTCCCACACACATGAAAACCATTAGCTGAAGCCTCTGTCAGCATGGCAGTGCAGCAGCACACGGGAGAATTCACTCCCAAAACAAACTGCAGCCTACAGTCAGGGGTAAAAAATCCCCCCACCTAATCATCAGAGCTAAGTGCTCGTGTTTTACACCAGCATTCACCTCTGCACCGAGCCCTGCAGGAAAACACATTTGGAGCAGTATTTTGCCTCAAGATGAAGGTTGGTGAGTGCCAGATTTTTGCCTGCTGTATTGAGTTAGGTTTGACCCCGCGTTCTCAAACCCAGAGACAGGGACCCAATTCTCTTCTTGTCCAATTTACAAAGTTTAAAAAAAAAAAAAACCCAAACAAACCAAATGAAGAACCAGATTTTTTATTGGAGATGAGTTGGCCACATTTTTCCAGCCTGTCAGGTCATGGCAATCTGCATGCAACTACTTCTTTTTTGGTTGGTTTTTTCGCTTGTTTTGGTTTTTTTTTTTTTGTTGTTGTTGCAAGAACCTTACCAACTTCAAAATAACCACGATTTTAGAAGCTACATACAAACACATATTTATAGTCTCTTCATTAAGAGCTGCCAAAATAACAATTCCTCTCCACACACACATCTGGGGCAGAAGCCATTTCCTTCACCACTCACATTTCTCCAGTAAATCACCCTAAAACACGTTTACCACGATGAAGGTGCAAGCGTGGCACACGCCACCGATTATGATTTTTCTCGGACCTCAAAACCGAGCCAAAAAGTTGCACAATTTTGACGCTTCTTTATAAGCCCTGCAAGGAGTCGTTTTAAAGCACGGTACATCCTATGGCGCTTGGCACCGACCCAGTCCTGCACGCCAGTGAGTCATTCCTCTTGACTGTCAAAACCCCGAAGGAGATAGCCAGGAACAGCCCTTGGGCCAGCACGGCGTGAAAGAGCCCTTCCTGCCATTCCGCTGCAGTAGCTTCGGATTTTGGGGAAGAAAGCATTAAAAAAAAAGGGAAAAGGGCACCGTCGGGCATTTTGAAAGCCTCGGCGCGGCCCCTCGGGGGGTTTATCAGCGGGGAGGCGGCGGGAGGGCTGCGGAGCGGGGGTGGGCGGCGGGGGGTGACGGTGAATGGGGAGGCCGCCGGTGACCGGGTTTAGGGGCCCCGCACCCCGGCGGGGCCGCGCCGCCCTCCCGGGGGTTTTTATGAATGAAAGGGCCGTATGCAAATGAGCGCGGCCCGGGGGGAGCGCGAAATGGCGGATGCGCGGGCGGGCGGCGCGCACACGAACGCGCGTGTCCGCGTCCCTCTGTCCGCCCGCGGCCGGTCCGTCTGTCCCTCAGTGCACGGGGCATGGGGATGAGCGACCCGCACCGGTTCCCGCCGGGGCAACAAAGACTGTCCCCTGTTCGTGCCCCCCAGCCGCCCGCCGCCCCCGGCCCCGCTCACTCGTCAGGGTAGGCTTCCTCGGTCATCTTCTCCCCGTCTAGGCTCATCCCTCGCCGCGGGCGGCCGGGCTGCGCCTCCGCATCTTCCCGAGCTTCACATGGCGAGGGAGGCCGCGCCGCGGCGGGCCGGGGCTGGCGGCCGCGCCGGGCCCGACGGCGCGGGAGCGCG